GAGAGAATAAGAGAGAGAGAGAAAGAAAGTGAGAGAGAGAGGGGGAAGAAACTGCTGAGACAGTAGACAGACTAGGGAAACCTTGGGGTTTACATTAGCTGGCTGGCAGCAACCACTTAGCGAGTAAACTAACCACACCTAATCCAAGAGCGGGTGAGCTCCGCTAAGTCCTGAATGGCTGGATGGATGGATGGATGGATATGCAGGATGTAAGCAGCAAGGAGCAAGGAGTAACAGAGGCCAAAATAGAAATAAGGACAAGAGACAGTCGCCTGCTTGCCAGCCTGGTTGCCAGCCTGCCTGTCTTGCTGCCTGAACGGCTGAATGGCGCTTCCTTATGGCTGCTTTCTTCAAGCAACTTTCGACAGCGAATCCAACAAAAGGGCCAAAGTACCCCCAACTTGCTCCAACCACCCCTCTATTCACCAAGTGCTGCCTGCGTCTTTGCGCCGTTGTGTCGTCAGGGAAAAAGTCATGCCAAAATGGAAGCCAAAACAGGAAGTAATCTATAGTCGCCCCGCCATTGTTTATTGTTTAATTTTTAGACCACTTTATTGTTGTTGTTGCCATTGCTGTTGCTGTTGCTGTTGATCTTCTTCTTGCTATTACCACTACTTGTTGTTGGCCACTTTTTTGTTTTGCGTCTGCTGCCTCGTTGTATTATTTCTATTGTTAACAATTTTTGCATTTTGCCCCCGCACGCTGCAAGTAGCAAAAACTTTTCAATGTGCCCGCGTTGCCGCCAACGCCGTTGTCGTTATTGTTCAACTCCCTAGCCCTGCCCCCTGCCCCCACCCCCATCCGATTCTAACCCACTCCAGCGCTACGCCCCTTGTTCCACATAGAACGCTGCCACTTGAGCAACACAACAAAGGCAGCAACGAGGTAAAACGAGGCAGACAAAAGCAAAACTCAAACCCAAAGCCAAATTCAGAAGAAAAAAAGAGTGGCGCCCACGCTTCGTCCAAAGACGACAAGCCGTTGACAAGGCGATCCCCCCACTCCTGTAACCCTTGCACTTGGCAGTCGGTGCTCCAGTCATATCGCATTTACTTGGAATTCCCTTTATCGGCAAAGCTAAAGCAACAGCAGCAACAACAGCAACAATAATAATAAAAATAACAATAACAATGTCACCCAGTTTCCATGGCAGCCTCTGACACTCTAGATATTCTTTCGACTACCTTATAATTGCGTTGCGGTCCCTGTCGGATTATGCAGCAGGAGCTATTAGAGAGCAAGGAGCAGCTGAAGCAGCAGCAGCAACAGAAGCTGAAGGAGTAGCTGCTCTAAACAGAGGCCAGCTGCAATCGCCTGCGATTATGGTTATGCTCCTTTCAAAGGACATATCCCAAGTTGCTGAGATATATATACGTATATCGATATACAAGCTTCAAAATGCAGTTGTCTTTAACAAATGCCTCACATAGCAAAGGAGAACAAAGAGAAAGTTGCTCAACTAAGCTAAGCAGCTGCAATAAATAAATATATATTCTTATTTAAAGCTCACATAGTACTTTAAATAATATTAACAAATTTATAAATATACTATATACTCGTATATTCTTGCAGTGGCATTTGTCAATTCATAAATTATGTGTAAGTGTCGTAAGTTGTAAGACTTCAAAAAGATGCATAGTTTTGTAATTGGCTTATAGGCGGATTCCACTATGCCCAACATTTCGTACATTTACATTTGCTCGATTTCCCAAAGATATATGTATATGAGAGAGAGAGGATCGGTTAATTTTAACTTGACATTACGAAACGAATAATAAAACAATTGATTAAAATATGAGAGGGACTGACTATAAACACTTTTTTTTGCGAATAACGCAATAGTTACGAAACACTTAAAATTTAACATTTTAAAAAGGATTTCATTCTTAATATTTGGAATTAAATTACATGAATTCAATTATAGTAGTATTTTTAAATACATAAAAAATAGAAATTGCAAAAAACATGAAATACATGGTTCGAATTTCTAAAATTGGCAACATACATTGCGAACGTTGGAAGTAATGTCAAGAATGTTGTCACCTATGGAAAATTGTTCAGGGGCAACATCTTTACATTTTGTAGGCATTCGAGAATGTAAGAAATGTTGATAGTTGAAAGCGGCTTTTTGGTAACCCGAATGTATATTAAACCCTTTTGCTTTTGCACGTTTCTTGAGTTCTATGAAACACGAATAAATAACATTTCACTGACATATAAATGCAGGGATATTTAATCCACGGCAAGCCGAGGCTGTATTTTGTATTCTTATTTTTAACAATTAGTTAATTTACCCAACTTAATTAAGTGAGTAAGTAAGCATATGTTACGGTAAAATTATTTATATTACGAGGAATAATTTATTTGGAAAAAAATTAAATTGATTCCCTTTCACATATTTATATTATTCAAAGTATTCAGAATATCAATTACCTTAGCAACGTGGAAAAATATCACAATTTTTTAAATATATAATTGAAATTAAACGAAAAAATATATATTTGGGAAAAAATCAATTAAAATACTTAATTACACAAAATTTGAGTAAGAGAAAAATAGTATTGTGAAAAAATTTGCATTCTGAATTGTTTTAAAAATTTTCTTGAATTTTTTTTATCATAATTTAATTTTTTTTTTTTTTTTGCCATCCCTCTGGGATGCGCGTTATGTGTGTGTGTGTGTGTGTATGTGTGAGTATGGATGGGTGTATGTGTATGTGTGTGTGTGTGTGTGATGTTTTGTTTGTTTGTTGTATTTGGAAAACATATAAACAAATGGTTAAGACGCAGACAATGGGGACATTTGGGATAACGTTGGGAGGGATTTTTTTTTGGTTTCTTTATTTTTTGTTTTCTTTTTCTGTGATTTATTTTATTATATTTTATTTATATTTATTTTTTTTTTTTTTTGTGGGGGAGTTCAACATATAGGGAGATATATATATACTTTTTGTTATATATTTAATTTGCTTTATATTATTCAATTTGAGTATTTTTTGGTATATTTCCTGCTTCAGTTACATGTAGAGACAAAGATATATATAAAAGTAGCTGCTTAGGCATTTAACAATAATACTGAAGACCTATTTTGTTGTTATTGTTGTTGTTTGACAAGTCTCGACTTGCTCACTAATTTGTTGTTGTACTTTTATTTAAATAAGTTACAAACAAAGAAACATAAGGAGAGAAATATAACATTTTTGTTAAACATAAAAGCGTTTCTTCTATGCATTAGATGAGTTTTTTTTTTTTTTTTTTTTTAATATGTATTATATATAAAAAGCATTGATCAAAACCAAAAACAAATGACAAAACGTAACGAGTCAAACACAGAGACAGAGAGAGAGAGAGAGATTGAGAGAGAGAGAGATAGATAGAGGAAGAGAGTGAAAGGGAAAATCTTGATACGATGATGAATAGTAGAAAACGAAAAGAAAAAACATATAAACGTAGAACTTAATACACGGTTTACATTTGGATTTGGTGGAATGAGTTAAATTGAAATTCGCTTAGTTTTTAGGTGAACTTTTTTGTTGTTGTGACGAAAGGGAGCGAGAGAGAGCGAGAGCGAGAGCGAGAGAGAGAGAGAGACAGAGGAGATAAGAACGAGTATTTGTGTAGCGAGCGAGTGAATGTTTTAGATTTAATTTAAATGTATGCTCATGCCAAAAAAAAAATATTTTAAAAAGCTAAAAACAAATAAATCGAATGATATTTTTATTTTTTGTAGTTGGTTGTGATTGTGATTGTTGGTTTCTTTGTAGCTGTAGTTGTGGTTGTAGTTTGTTGGGTATTCGGCTTACTGTTAGTATGTGTGTTAATATTTGTTAATTGTTCATATCATAAATGGGGAGGGCGGGAATGTAACATAAATGAATAACCAACTAAATACACATAGACACGTACACATAACACATACAAATTACAAATACAAATACAAATATATAGATTTGATTATTTTCATAACATATAATAATTCTCTTGCATTTGCCTTCTGTAGTTTCATTTTTTCTGCTGTATTTTGATTTACTTTTTATATGTGGCCCTAGAAAATAAGCTAGTATTTAACTGGGTCATTTTGTTGTGGGTATTGAAATGATAAACCAAATTAAATGAGATGCGAGTTGTGGAATAGTGTGAGTGAAACAAAATTGAAGAACATCAGGTTTTGTTTTCTCCCACGCCTTATTTTTTGTTTTTTTTTTGGTATCCTTTTTTTCATAATATTTATTTTATTTACATGAATGATTAGTTGACTTTTGGGTTTTGTTTGCAATGCGTCAAATGCTTGGAATATTGTTTAAAATGTCGAAAATAAAATCGTTTAACGATGTATGTATATTTTAAATACAAAAATAAATACTGCATAATGCTGGGCAAGGGGAGCACGGGGAGCAGGAAGTCTCTAGTAGCAAATACAGCACAAATGCAACAGTTAAAAATATTATTTTTTGTGAGACTTAGACTTTGTGAAGTTGGTCAGTGTTAATAAACACCTGGTAAATGACTATCGGAGTTATAAGACAAGATAACATAGAAAACGATTCGTATGTGAATATTTATGCTGTAATTTAGAGATCGATCAGGCCGACAAACGATTTGATTTTAGAAGAAGACTAAACCGCATTCTATCGGCATTAAAAAGATGTTGTATGTGAGAAAAAGAGAGGGTTTTGAATGAATGATGGAAAAAGTAATAACAAAAAAAATGTCTGTATACTTGAAAGTTGTTTTTTTTTTAATGCATTATGCTTCTATGGAATAAGAACTGAAAAAAGTTCGATGCAGTCGATATGACGTAGAGAATGTGAAACCGAAAAGAAAATAAAGTATATTAGGCGACTATTAGGCAAAGGCCAAAAACAAAAAATCAAATGACAAAAAATTGTTTTGGTATATATATTTTTTTTTTTTGATTTTTGTTTACCACATACGCCTGTGTTTCCTTTCAAGTTTAATATTTCTGTATTTATTTTTTGTGTGTTTTTTTTTTCGACTTACCAAGGCGTGAACGAGCTCCAGAAGAGACTACAAGTTCACGGGTTGAAACGTAGTAATTTGTTTTTTTTTTTTTGGTTTTTGTTTTTATTTCAATTGATTTTAGGTTGATTGCAAACGAAATGCAATTGATTGAGTGTTGAAATTTGATTTGGATTTTGGTTTAGCACACAACATGAAGGTATCGAGCCACAGCAACAGAGTAGGACAGTACACAATTAATTGACAGGACAATAAAAAAGAAATTAAAAGACAAAAATGCTTTTCGTTAACGAATTGAATCAAAGTTGAGATATTTTTTGTATATACTTCTTTTGTTTGTTTTTTTTTTTTTTTTAGCGTTTAGCTTAGCATACCTAAAAGACTTTCTTAGCTTCGAGAACTAAAGCAATTGTGTAATCGATATTGAAATGATAAAAGAGTACATCAAACGTCACTTTTAATAAAATGGAAATCATAAGAAAAGAAAACACATTTGACAAACACACTTGGTATTATCTGGTAAAGTGACTGGTTTTGTCTGGTCTGGACATCGATGACAGAGATAAAGATACTTAGGATTTTACACATTGGTATTCGTCAGGCTTCTTTTGGGGTTTACTTTTGCGATTAGATTCGATTCGATTCGTTTGATTTCGTATTTAGTATGGTTAGTTGGTTAAATGATTCAACTTAGGATATAATCATATATATTTATTAATATTACTTACAAATCATAACGAGTACTTGTAATATAAAAATAAATTTTCTTTTTAGACACGCACAGTTACAAAAATAAAATGATAAAATTGAAAGAAAAAAATCGTAACACACACAAGTCAAAATTCTATTTTTGATAGGCATTTCTTTCTTCTCATCGAAAATAGTTCAAGTCCTTTGATTTTCCGTTCTATCTGTATTTTTGATATGTTGGTTCTTCTTACGCATAACAATTGGTATATATATATAGGTAAGTATCAGTATTACAATCACAATATCATTAAATTAAAGAAACAACAACAAAAAAGTACACTCTCGACTATTAGTTGACAGTGGTGGAAATTTGTTTGGTTCTCGCATTTTGCATTTCTCGAAAATGTTTTGTTCGAAAGTAGATCGAAAAATGTAAGAAAACAAGAGAAACGAATACAATACAAACCGAACCCAAGCAAATCAAACATAAATCTACGCACACCCACATCTCTGTGAGCAGATACCATCTAGGACATCTAGTAATTGAGAAGAAAGTTCTATTTTGGCTGTGAGCACACTTTGAGGTTACGTTGTATCGGTATCCCCAAAAACACTCTGGAGAACCAAATGTTAACAAAAAAAAAGAAGAAGATAAAGGAAGAGCAAAAGAAACAAAGCAATGGAACTAAAGAACCGTTAGCTCAAGATAGACGGTTGTGTATATTTAGGACTAGGTTTAGTTCAGCTCTTTTTCAATATAATCGCCTACCACCTATATAAATATATATCGTATATCATCCGCGTTATATATCGCATAACATTAATAATCTTATATCATTTGCATTTTTAGTATTTCATTGTCATACATAGTATTTTTTTTTTGTTTTTCTTTTTTCTTTTTTTTTTTTTGTTTGGGGGGTTTAGACGAACACAAGGAGGTTTAACACTAGACAACACACATACTCAATGAAGTGCTATCATTATTTTCGCTTTGGATGTTTTTCGTTTTTTTTTTTTCGGATGAACCATTCATATTGTAAGTAAAAGACAAAACGCAGAGTTCAAAAGAATGGGAAATAAAGAGCTTCAAACGAAATGGGAAATGAACTGCTAAGAATTATAATTAAATTAATTAATTACGGCAAATTTTGGCGCTTAGTTTTTTATCATTTTTTTTTTTTTTTTTGTTTTTTTTTTGTATGTTCCTCCTACATTTTAGGCAGGCAAGAAAAGAAAAAGCTCAAAGAAAATTTGTTCGCGTTTAGTTTGTTCTTTCCGAATCGTTATTTCATTAGACCAGAAAACTAAGGAAACGTATAAGGGGGAAGAATAAAGAATTGAACTGAAGCACAAATTGAATGACACGTAAACTAAAACGTAAGTTCAACATTTTGTTTATTTCTTTTTCGTTTCTCTTTGGAAATCGTTCAAATATTTTGAGGTTACTTTATAACACGTCCAACGCATAAATGATAGACTCATTGAGGGGAGAGAGGCGTAAGGGATTGTGGGAATGTGATTGCGGGTATTGATTTTTTTTAATTTTTTTTTTTTTTTTTTTGGTATATATATATATATATTCTTTTTTTCATTGAATTTGATTCGATTTGTTGAGACTACTTGAATGTGTTCAGTTGAAGTTTGAAAACATATGTAAACAAGTTTCAATAACAATTTTTGATTTTGTAGAGGATTAAATAACTTTTGTAAAAGCATAAATGAAAATTAAATATATGTATATCTATATGTATCGTATATCGTTTATTGTATATACATATATATATAAATATATATATATGTTTTGGAAATCATAAGCAAATTGATAGAAAATTTGAGCTTTTTCTCTTCGTTGATGCAGTACCACAAAACGTAAGATTAGGCAGCGGTATTATATATATATATGTATAAAATTGCTAAAATGAAAATTGTAATCGAAATCGAAATCGGAAACAGAAACAGATTCAGCATCTGAACCTGAACCTGTACCTGAACTGAAACTGAAACTTAAACTCTTCGCTGTGGTGCATTCATCAATGTACAGTTATAAATGCATAATATTGTATATATGTTTTATAATATAGTAATGATATACAGGTACATTGATGTATACGAGCATAGAGTATATAGTTATTTTTATTTTTAACACGCTTTACACATATCGTTCTTTCAGTTTGTTTCCAATGTCTCGGAACTGAAGACAATCAACAATTGCTAATCGATAACGAAACATCAGAAATCTTAACATAAATCTAACCAAAAACTCGATAAATCGATAATACGATAATACGTAAAGTATAAAGTAATGAAAACAATTGCTCAATATGTAAAGCCTCATCCATTCGATTCGATTCGATTCGATTTTTGCCCATTAGGGCAAATTGCATTCTTTGTAGACCTAAACTTGCGCACTAAGAAGTTATACAGCATATATATATATAGTATATAGAGTATACGAGCCCATGCCAAGCGGGCCCCCGATATAATTACAACTAGTCAGAGCATATATTGGAAATGTACTTACTTCTCGCTGTACTCGTCCATGTGGGCATACGACTGCACCGAGTTCTCTTCAATCAAGAACTTAACACGCTGGTAAAAGGATGCCGTCACCGATGGAGGCTGCTTGCGAAGCAGCACCTCAACTGGATCGTTGGAAGACAGGCACATAATATGCTCCGAGCAGGCCGGATGCGAACAGCACTCGCTATCCGAACAGTCTGTCATGCCATCTATAGTTTGGGAGTGTTGTGTTGTATCGCTATGCATGGGTCTTAGTCTTATCTTGTCTACTTACCACCATCGTTGTCAATGTTATCCTTGCAGTTCATCTCGAGTGCAATTGAGCAATCGCTGCCAGCCCAACCATCAATGCAATCGCAGCGATATTCCCCATTCTCCAGTGTGCACTGACCATGACGAGAGCAGCCGTTTTCGCAACCAGCTGAGGGAGTTAGAGAGAGAGAGAGAGAGAGAGAGAGAGTTAGAGAGAGAGAGAGTACGAAGTGAAATTGTAGTAGATTACCAGCTATTCAGCTAGAAAAAATAACTAAAATCGTAAAATCAAACGAGAATAGTGAATGAGTAGAAGTGAAGCCAATCAGCGAGAGAACTTTGTCGGCGAGTAGGAGCAAGTATATAACAATTAAGCCATAACGAGACAACGAATGCGTACAGCTGAGAATAACTAGAGAAATACTAACGAGAGCAGTCAACGAAAAGATGAGGAGCTAACCGGCTAAGTAAATCATAATGCGTTCAGCTGACAATAACTTGAGAGTATTTGCCAAAGTTGATTGGCGAGTATGTCAACTATTTTACGAGAGATTATTAAATATAAAAGGACGAAGCACAAGTAGAACCGAGAATATTTGTCAGACAGAACTAAAGAAAGATACTTATCACACAAAAGTGAAAGAGGAAGTCACAAAAGTGCCATAAGCGAATGCGAGCACTTTCTCAGCGAATTGAAGAAGACCCAAGTAACGAGAGTAGTTTGTTAGCAAGTCTTTAAGCCTTTTAATGAGTGTAGCAAGTGAAGAATCATGTTTATAGCGTCATTGATCAGCGTCGCTCTTTGTCGCTATGACAGCCAATCAACTTGTTTGTCGAGGTGAATGCTTCCAGCGAGTGGAACCGATTAAAATTGAATGATGACATTCAAGTAGCGACGAGTAGTTTGTGTAAGTTAAATGTTTGACATTTTCCTGTTGTTGTTGTTGTTGATATTTTATATGCGCAGCGAGTGAAGAGCATTAATATAAAAATAATGTTAATGTTTGCTCTTCAAGGAGCGCTCAAGTGAGTCGACGAATGGATGGGATGGATGGATTGAAAGAGGATGGGGCAAAGGGGATTGGTTGGAGGGCTTGGTGGGGACTATGTGTATGGATTGTAAGTAGGAGCAAAAGTGCCCTTCGCACGCACATCGACAACATCATAAACGAAACGAAATGTGGAGAAATCTACAAAACCGTAAACATAAAAAGCAAACGAAACGTAACGATAGATGCCAACGTTGATGGGCACTGTGTGAATGGATGGCGTTTTGGGCTTAGGGGTTTATTTGTTTGTACCACGACAGCAGCAACAACAGCAACAACAACAAGAATGACAGCATTTGAGCATTTGACGCAAAGTTAATGTCACTTGACATGTGTCATTTGCAAAATGGGTAACCTCGACGCTAACTCAACTTCCGGTATGTTAAAAAGTTTGCGGCGCATAAAATGACTTCCTTGTCGTAACTGCCTTCCTGTTTACGACTCACACACACACATATAGACAGAGGCATACACACACACACACGCACACACACGTGAGTGTACACTACACATATTGGCAATAACGTCAAGTGTTGCTGCCAATATTTGAACGATGTCTGCAGACGCTGCCTTTGCACAAACAATTCCCAAGTCTGTGTGTGTGTGTGTGTGTGTGCATAGGTATTATGCCAAGTTCGGCACATGCAGAAATCTGTCAAAAAGTTGCAATAGTTTCAGCCAGCTCGAAACCCGAAAATCCTCTGTAAACACCATTAACAAAACTACGAAGATTAGCCTCGACTAACTAAACAGGCACTTACTCGTAGATAACCTGAATATGAGAATTCAACTACAAGCATAGCTCAAATCAAATGCATAAATGCTATAAATATGCAAATCAAGTCAAAATAAAAATAACAAAAATAAATTAATATCTAATATAGCTAATATTAGGTATATAATGTGAAAATATTTGAAGCTTAACTGGAAATTTTAATCAATATTGTTGAAATGTCGATATATATATATATATATTACATAAACTTTAAGAAAAATATGGATAAATATCAATAAACTCAAGCAACTTGGCTGTTTTGTGTGCTTTTGAGCTGAAACTTGGCAGCTAATCCTGACTTGTCACAAGCAATTCGATTTTAGCACTCGAGTAACCCGGGCATAGTTTTTAACTAACTTACTAAATTCAAGTAGTTCGACTAGCTGACAGTATTATGCACTAAAACTGAAAGTCTCCGATAGACAGCTGCCTTTGCACATATTTTTTTATGGCTCTAATCGCCTAGCACAAATCTAGCCCAGAAATAGTTCCCATAATGGTGTTCGCTACTGCCGAATAGTACTAAAAATCTCGGCGCCGACTTTTAATAAAAAAATATACAAAAAAAAAGAAAGAATCGTAGAGGACTAGAAAAGCGCGACATAACTAAATGAAAGTGCCGCATAAAATGTCGACGACTATTTAGAAACTGTCACACATTAGATGTCACCTACTGAGACAGAGAAACAGAGAGAGAGAGAGAGAGAGAAAGAGAGAGAGAGGGCAGGCACTTTGAGATTGAGAGACATAAAAATGTATCTAGATTTCAGGATTGCAGTCGTGTAATTTGTTACAAATCTCTGTTCAAATTCAATAAACTTTACCGCATTGTGTGTGTCGCGTATGTCAAGTGCTGCCCGCCCGTGGGAAGGAGACAGGGATAGAAAGCAAGAAGGAGCAGAAGGGAGACAGACACACATGGCAAGTCGCTGGAAAGTCGTTAAGTACTTTCTAAAAATACAGGCAGCCAGACATGCATGTATTAGTGAATGTATCTGTGTGTGCGTGTGTGTGCCTGGTTATTGGGTGGCACTTTGTGCTTTTGCAAGCGTGACTCGCACGTCGAAACCACCAGCCCCCCGCCCCCTCCTCCCCTCGTTTGCCACCACTTCCTTTTAAGTCCTGCTGCAACACTTGAATCGATTCAAAACGTTTTTGGTCGTATGTTGTCAGAGGAAGTTCCCACTGGGAATGCTGAATGGCGTTCGACATGGCGGCTTGCAGGCAAACCCAGTCATACAGAGAGAGAGAGAGAGAGAGAGAGAGAGAGAGAGAGAGAGTGAAAGAGAGAGAGGGGGGTGGCAGGAGTGTTGTGTTGGTAGCCAGGAATAAGTGTCTCTCGCCTGGGTCTGAGTGAAATGACGTCGGAAGTTTTATTGGTTTTGCACACGTCAACGAAATGTTATACATAGAGAGAGAGAGAGAGAAAGAGAAAGAGAAAGAGAGAGAAAGAGATAGCAGAGACAGGCAGGCAACATACGTAGACGTGTGCCCCGCCCCATGATCCATCCCCCCACCCCATTTTGAGGCATTGGGTATGTGTAATGCTATTACATGCATGCCTGAACCGTCAACGTTGGTGTTGCCATCGCCAGGGGGCGCCACACAAACACAACTACACCTAAAACTACACACACAGTAGCACACTCTCTCACACACACACACACACAGAGAGAGACTTTGGTTTGGTATCGTACATCGAATGGTTCTGTAACATGACTGTTTGTTCTTAAAGTTTTAATCACTGTCAATCGATAGCTACTTATCATGCTGCACCAACGCTGTCAAAGTGGGTGCCACAAAAACAACCCACCCACAACTCTTCCAAAAACAAGTCAACTATCAACTATCCAAAAAAACCATTTCACAACCACAGCAAATCAGCTCTCATTGTGTTTGAACGGGCATAAAATACCCTTACAGTCAATTTGAACTATGAGAATAATATTATAGTGGTTTGAGAGTGATTGTTCCTAAATATATAAATAAATTAATTAAGTTGAATAATTTGCGCATTTTACGATTAAATTATCAAACCCCATTTGCCAACCAAAATGATGGTCTCTCATACAAAACTGCAGCTGCTGGTTAAGTCGGGCTCAGTACTTTGAAGGTCCCAATATCCAATATCCAATACCCAATACTCAACAACAATCCCCCATTTGAAAGGGGTGGGGGGGACTGTTAGTCCATCGCTGGTACACTCAGTACACTTTGGAGTTTTCGACCAAATGGCGTAAACATGTACAAAATACTTTGGCGCAAGTGCAAAAAACAAATATTATAAAAACACAAAAAAAAAGAAGGAAGAAAGCATGGTAACAGCAGCAACAGCAGCAACAACAGCAACAGCAGTTTTTGACTTGGTTGCAACTGCTGCAAAAATATTTGAACATATGTATGTTTGCAGTTGATGGGGCAGAGGCAGGCAGTCAGGCAGCCAGGCAGCCAGGGAGGCAGGCAGCGGAGGGTCAAAGGGAAAGAGATAGCGATGTGGCAACGTCGCAATGTTTTTGGTTGAGTTGGCGCGTTGCGACATGAAGCCGACGACGACAAAGTTGTTGTTGCAGTTGCAGTTGCTCCTCAATGTGACAATGTGAAATGTGGAATGTCAGCTGCGGTTGCTCGGCTTTCCGTTATTGGCGCATCGCTAATCGATTGAGCATCAGTTGTAAATTGCGCAACGGCAACGGCAACAGCAAACAGCAACAGCGACAACAGATAGCAACAGCAGATTGCAACTGCAACTGCAACCGTAACAACAACAATTTGCATTGTTGCAACCGAGCTGAGGTCAAGGCAAACACTGCACGTTAAGTGTTCATCAGTCAGCTGCGTAATTTGTAGCGGTTGTTGTATAAAACCGCAGCTGTCTAGAAACATGAAACAATCATCAACAAATGTGGTCCACATGAATTATAGAAAATTGTTCCAACTATGATTCAATTAAGCCCACAATCGATTGCGAGGAAGAGTAATGCTTTTGAGGTTACCAAGTAGCAGGCTGTATTTAAGCTGTAACAAATCCTGCCAAAGCCAGTTTTAACAGTTGACAGATGAAGGCATCTTTGAATGGGAATTGAGTTAAACTTATACAAAAAAATATATATATATATATCTTGGAGTAGTAACTGAGAGAAGTGCATTGATAGCTGGACCTTAAAATGGGTGTGCATATTTTGTATTTTTATTTATTTGTTATTCTTTAGCTTTTCTTGAGCTTTTCATAATCCACATCAAGTTCCATACTTAGAAATGAGTACAGTGTATTTTTAGGAATGATATTTAAATTGTATTTGAAAAATACACAATTTATCGTCTTTACACCTATTTTATTGTCCATGATATATATATATATGATATTTTATTTATGTATAAACAGTTATATGTAGGGGGGAGTACTTACGCAGGGTGCAGTGTCGCCCATTCCAGCCCTGGGAGCAGACGCAGGTTCCATTCTTGCATTGGCCATGCTCCGAACAGCGATTGTCGCAGGGCAGCTGATCGCACAGGTTGCCCGTCCAGCCCATGTTGCAGCGGCACTTGCCCGACTCACAGACCCCATTGCGGCCACAGTCCAGACTGCAAACGGCTGTTAGAGAGAGAGAAAGAGCGAGAGTGAGAGAGAAAGTGTGTTAAGCGTGGCGTCAAATAAATACAATAATATAAATAAATGAAAATGAAACGGAATGGCCAGCTAGGGTAGTCGGTAGTGGGTAGTGGTTAGTGTTGTGTGTGGTTGCTGCTTATGGCTATTATATTTGTACATATGTGCGTTTAAATTCATTAAAGTGCTGTGCCACAGGCGGCAGCAATAAATTCAACTCGCCACACTCAGAAAAACACAAAAAAAAAACCAACTACAATCAACTAAAGGAATCCAAATCCAATCCAGTTCTTTGTTCGAGTAAAACATTTGCAATGAGAATAAATTCAAGAATAAAAATTTGTTCGCTTTTATGCATATTTAGATCTATGCATAAATATTCTAGTAAAACACTTGCAAGGAGAGTGAATACTCTTGATTCAAGAACTTTTCGTCTTTCTTATGCTCATTTAAGCAAATTCATAACTTTCTGTTCCTTTTCATTATGTTCTCTTAAGACTATTCATAACCATTCAACTGAAACATTAGGAATGAGTGCAGAAAGGTTCTGTTCTTCTTTTAAATCCAATTTCAGACTATTCCTAACTACTCTTAAGACAAATACAGTGTATTCTTCAAGTAACGCGCGATTAAAGAACTTTTGTTTGCTTTTCATGATCAGTTAAGAGTATGTTTTAGTTGAAATCATTGAAATCTTATGTGGAAAATGCCTCCAAGAAAATCCCCTTGAAAAGCAGCTAGTTTTCTGCAAGTGTACTCGTTGCTTTTTGCTTTGTTTGCTGCACTCGTTACTTTTGCACTCTGGCACACTCTCTATTCTTCTTCTTCTTCTGCTTCTTCTTCTTCTTCTTTTTGCCACTGGACTGGGCTGGCTTACGGCTGTAAAATGTTGCCCCAGCGAGTGAACCATAAAAACAACATTATAAATGTAACATTTACGTGGCAACAAGCGACAATCCCAACCCCCTTCACCTCCTGAATTCCCTCCTCTTCTCCTCTTGGAGTTAACTTTTGTTCTGTGCGTCGCAGGCGTAAATTTATTTTATTTGCCTTTATACGCTGAGTATGAGTGTCAGGGCTGTGAGCTGGGGGGGGAAGTGGCAGGGGAGCGAGCGAAACCTGCGTATTAAATAAATAATGAATTTTTATGAAGCTCTGCTTCATTACGCCCCCCAACACCACGCCCAACACCACGCCCACCCCCACTCCAACCAGGCCAATGGGGCTGCTGGTGGCAGGGTTGCCGCCTGTCGGTGCTAAAAAGTTAAGCAAATTAGGCGTGCGTGCCCCACAGACGACAACGACGAGGAGGTCCTTTTGCCCTTTGCCCCACAGCCCCAACCCCAACTCCGACCCCGACCCCTCTCAGTGTGTGTGTGTGCTTTGTCTCCGTGTCCAACTCCAGTTTGCGAGTGGTTACATCGTAAGCTGCATGTTTTATTGGGCCGCCATCCTTGGAAATGATTATGGAGCCCCGTTTTGTACAGTGTTGTTGTTTTTTTTTTTTTTGTTGCTTATGTTTTTGTTTTTGTTTATGTCGTTTGTTGTAGTTGCTGCTGCTACTGCTGTGGTAATCGCTAAAATTTGTTACTCTTACTCGTAGTCCGCCTCCTACTTGTTTGTTGTTGTTGTTGTTGGCCATTCGGCTTTTGGGCCTAATTGAAGGATCGGCTTTATGGCCATCATCTAATTTGGATTCGGTCCATGCGATAAACCATCATTATGTGTAAGCATACGCAATGCTGGATGCTGAATGCTGGATGCTGGATGTCCCCCATCTTATAATAACTGCATTAGTTGCCATCTGTGTGTGTGTGTGTGTGGGGGGGGAGGGGGGAGTTTACGACTCGCCCGCATACCACACAACTCCAACTGCCTCCCTCGCCCCTCCATCGCTACACATTTTACAGCCCCAACGTGCTGTATACTCCATAAAGACTCGACGAAACTGGCCTTTGCAGATGCCAAGGTATTCTTTGAATATATATATATATACATCTATATATATACATATATATATAAATCTATATATATATGTTCATCTCACAGATTTATCTGTAAAATCCGTGAGTTATGTTTGTTATGTGACATTTCACGTGAAATTTGGTAAAGGATGTTGGAAACAAATCTTATTCACAGTTAAGCCAAAAATGCTTTAGTTCTTCTTTTTCTGGCACAAAAGGTTCGATATTTTAGAGATTGGATACATCGAACTGCTTTTCTTCTTCTTCTTCTTCTTCTAGTGCAATCGGTTCGATATCTTAGAGATGAAATAGCAATCTTCAGTCTACGTCTCCACTGCTCTGCTACTGCTCTGAATTTCAATTTGTAAAAGCGATTTTCCCTCGAAATTCAATCGAATTTTTCACCCAAGAGTCTCAATTTAATTCTCCATCTAAAATTAAAGCCCCTTTACTTTGCAGATTTTCTTTAGATTCTTTTACAATGCTAATTGGGCTATGCATCGTTAGTTGTGACTTCTTCAATTTCCCTTCTTTAAGCAGCAAATTCAATTTCAGCTTTAACTTTGAACTGCGTTTCAAGTGCTGCTTGCATATACATATATAAATATATCGATATACATAATCGTACCTAAAATTGTAGCACAAACAATACAAACCTTCCCGTAACTTCCGCTCCCCGCAGCCCCGCCGCATTCAATTGAAATGCTGGCCACTTAACCTCTAATTGGAATTCAATGCTCGAACTGAAGAATCATTTGTTAGCAGCATGTTGTTCGGAACGACACCGGAACACTGCACAGCAACAAATAAAGAAACACACAAACACACACATGCAACACTTGCAACAAATAATACACCCATTCACACACACACACACACATCCATATATATATATAAGCTCCACATGTGGAAAGATGCAATTGTTATTCTTGTTATTTTGTATGAGGTGTGACTATATGGAGGATGGGGGGAATTTGGATTGGGGGGGTTGCGTTACTGTTAGTTGGTCATTGCACTTACCTTGGGAACAATCCGGTCCCGTCCAGTGTCGCTCGCAGACGCATTGTCCCGTCTCGAGGTCGTAGGTGCCATGCTCGGAGCAGCCGGGGAGGCACTGATACACCTGCTGATCAATCGTGCCACAATCCTCGCCCTGCCACCCGGCCTTGCAGTAGCACTGACCGGCCACACAGGTGCCATGGCCCGAGCACAATGGATCAAGGCAATCATCTGCACGAGATTCATTCCATATGCCAGCAATATTCAGGGGTGCGGTAGGTTTTTTTTATATTTATTTATTTTTTTTTTTGGTTTGTGGGAGAAAAGAATACAAAATGTGTGTTTTATATTTTTGTTTCTTTGGTTAGTCGTCGCATGGGTTCGCATACAAACAAATATAGCACAATAAACATATATATATATATACATATATATGCATGCTCTAGTCGGGATTGAGGCCGACTAGTAAATGCCCTGCAGACAGCAACTACTTTTGATTCTCAAATGGGTCATAAAGCTTATTTTGTAAAAGGGATTTGAAGCGAGAAGACAAAGAAGTAAAGTACTAAAGTTGGTCTCCGATCTGAAGGAGTTTATCTAGTTATCAAACGTGAACTTAAATATTTCAATTTAAATGTATAATAAAGAAATATTTATATGATATCTGAGGGTATTTAAATGCAAAATGAACAAGGTTGGTGACACTCGATTCCTTTTGATTGAGATTGGATGAACTGATGGATGGCCATATCTCCATCGATTCTGTTATCCGCTGATGCTATATATATTCGGCTGCCGCTTACTACACATACGTTGAGCACAGCTAAAAGGATTTACCTACTTCTCAATGATCCATACACTAACAAGATATACTAAAATATACAATATGTTCACAGATACACTCAGATAGAGAGAGAGAGAGAGAGAGAGAGAGAGATGGGTGGGTGAGTGGGTGACGGGTTCAGGGGGGGGCAAGAAGGGGCAGACTCGTAACAGCCTTGGCAAAACAAAAGCCCGTCACGAACCGATGGCGATACATGACATGACGGTTGCCTGCCCGTTTCTGCCCGCGCACTTTGTATGCCAGAGATTCGGGCACAGGTCATACACAGGCGCACACACACTCACACTCACACACACACACACACACACACACAAACACATTCTGCACACACACATGACATGATTAGTATGTTGGACACGTACGAAAGTGGTCATTAAAATGAAATTCCAGTTTAGTTCAACTTGGTAATTTTGCGCAGTTGTTGCAATTTTTTCTTGCTGCTGCCGGAGCAGGCTCCTCTGTTTCTTCTTCTTCTTCTACTTCTACTTCTGGTTCTATTTCCCCTTCCTCCTCCTCTGCTTCGTCTGCTTCTTCTGTCGACGACTCTTTACTTTTTCTTGTATTGGCTTTGAATACCCTATCGCTGGATCTGCTTATCTGTGCTGTTGAAACTTTTCACAGTTGCTTCCGTTATTGGTTAGTGGAAGAAGGCCATAAATTGCAGCTGGCCTAATCGGAACAGCATCAGACAGTTTTGGCCGTGACTGATATAAAATATGAAAATGATTTGTTTGATATGAAAATGGCAATTCTGTATTTGTTTCAGAAATGAGAAAATGCCAATCTATACAATCAATCAATATCAGAGAATTAAATTGAATAATTTATATCAGCATACGAAGTTGATAAATAGCTGATTATATCTTCTTTTTTTTTAGGGTCTGTGAGTTAGATCTATTGGGGGTCCCTTCTGAACGGACAATATGCTTTCCGATTTTCACAAAATCGCCACAGTCTACAATGTGGTGTCAAGAGACCGGGAAGAGACCAAGGCTATCGTTTTTTATTATAAACACCTAGAAGACATTTGGCATGTCTCAGAGCTGGTGCTGGGCCCTCTATCAGCTTACTGTATATCTATTTGAATTTTGACAGCGTATCAGCTCTTCGGCAATATCCAAATTTGGTGCTTTCCTATTGCGTTTGTATATATTTTTTCCTTTCTTTCTTTGTAGTATTTTCTTTCTTGCTTGTTGTCCCACTTCTCCAGAGCTTTACATCTTCCTTTTCATCTGGTCTGCTCCTACTTCTTGGCTTGTTGAGCGTTTTGTATGTGAAATATGCTTTCGACATATAAATTCGATTTTATACGTTTTATGTTTGCTTTGTTGTTGTTTGTTCTGTTTGCTGTTCGCTTGTTTTGTATGCCAAGGGTCCAGTACAACACACACACACACACACACACACACACACACACACACAGACATACACCCACAGCGGGACAAACAAGCAATCACATGTGGAAGTAGCATTCAGCTATAGTCAAGTTTTTGTTTTTTTTTTCTTTCTTTTTGTGTGTGTGTGTGTGTGTTGCATATTTTATGCATTTTTTTGCGAGTGTGCGTACCACATTTTTGCAGTTACTTTGTCCATAGTTGTTGGCCACTTTTTACCCTTAAAGGGTCAAGTGAAAAAGCGTCGAGCTTTAAATACTTGCCCAAAAAAGTATGCAACGCCCCTTGTCGCAATTTAAAGCCAACAAAGAGCAAAAGCGACGGGTCTAAATGCTGGGGCGGCATAATAACTGAAATATTTTGGCGTCACCGTGACACGCCCCTAAGGATATTAGAGGGTCTGAGGGGAGGGTAGGGCCGGTGGTCGGTGGCCAGTGTCAACAGTGGCCGACAACAAGCCTGCCCGAAAAATTGCAAACAAGGCAAATAAATAATTTTAGCATTTTTATGCCAAGTCAGCAGCAACAGCAACAGCAGCAGCAGCAGCAAACAAAGACAGAAACAGGGACCGACATCGAGACAGACATTCTAACACTCAAAGTGAGCTATGTGGGGGGTAGAGGGCAGAGGGCAGAGGATAGGGGGTTGTTTTCGCCTTGACACTTACGTTGATCGCAGTAGGGTCCTTTCCAGCCTCTCTCACAGTGGCACTCGCCCTCGATGCAGCGTCCGTGGCTGGAGCAATTTGGCACCTCGCATTCACCGACGGGTATATCGCATTCGGCACCCTTCCAACCGTCCTCACAGTGGCAGACCCCTCCTCCATAGTGGCCATGGGCCGAGCACAGCACGGGACAAACGCCTGCAGAAACGGAAAGAGTCAGAGAGAGAGAGAGAGGGAGAAAGTCAGTCAAGTTACAAGAAAAAAAAAAGAAAAGCAGAAAGAGAAGCGAAAATTGGTATTGAAAAGTGTCAGACAAAGGCAACAAAAAATAAAAATAAAAAATAATAAAAAAAAAATAGAAGCAGAGACGCTTTACAAATAAATAAAAAAAAAAAATACTTTGCCACACAGTGGTGCAAAAACGAAACCGTATACAAACAAAAATACAAATCATATACAATTACATTGACAATAAACTTAAAGCACAGTTTTTTTTTTTTGTTTTTATTTTGTATGCAATTTAAGGCTTAATTCTATTTGGGGCTTACAGGTATTTCAGAGAGACGATTTTAAGAATATTCCTCGAAGAGAGTTCGATTAATATTATGAGCCATGTTGTAGCCTATTTTGATAGACAGACCAGTGTGGCAAGCGGAAGGACAAAAAAAAAACGGACACGTCTCTCTGTGGGAGCTATATACATATATATATATATATATGTATATATATATGTATATATATATATATATGTATATATATATTCTTTCTTTTTGGGTTGGCTGGCTGGGACTGGCGGAAAGTAAACAGCCAGAGCCAGGTGATGTTGACAGCTCAACTTTGGCGTAAGTTTTTAATTTAAACGAGCAGCGAGCAGTGAGTGGACGAGTGGACAAGGGACAAGTAGATTGGGTTTCGTACTTACTCTTGGAACAATCAACGCCTTGGTAACCATCGATGCAGTCACATTTGCCGAGATAACAGCTGCCACGTCCCGAGCAATCGTTTGGGCAAGTTGTGCTAACACCCTCCGCCTCCTCGGCCAGCAACGATACTGAATGGGCAACCAGTTCATCATTGTAAATTGATATGAACCACAGGCCAGTGTCCAGATATTGCAAGAGTGACACATTCACCGTCATTGCATCCATATCGAGAGCCGGCAAACCACCATTATTGGCACCACCATCACCCGAGGAGCGTTTATGCAGCGAGTGGGCAACACTGCCTCCGCGTTGCTGTTGCTGCTGTTGCTTCATTTGCTGTTGCTGGATGTGTTGTTGCTTGGCAAAGTCCATTGGGGTATCGATATCAAAGTATTCCACAGAGTCCAAATTAGCTGGCGATTCATCGCTGCTGCTGTTGCTACTGTTTTTGTCGTCCTCATCCTGGCGCTCCTCAGCCTCAGTTGGATCCTCCTCGTAGCTGGTGGCACGACGCTGACGCAGTTGCAACTGTTGCAGTTGCTGCTGTTGCTGCTGTTGTCGGAGCTGCAACTGTTGATCGTATGCCTCGATCAAAGCCAAATCGGTGCTAACGTGTGTCTGATTGCTGGGGCTGCGACGATGCCGCAAATGACTGTCGATCCGGCCACCCTTGATGAACTCTACGAAATCATGTTGCGTCACAGAGGGCGCCACATTGCGGCGCGAATAGACGGCAAAGTGAGCACCCCACGGTAGCGTAAAATTGAAGCGAATAAATGCCGGATGCTTGTTGCGAAACTCCAGTGTCCAGAACTGATAGGCCGGTATATTGGCATGGTAGAGCTCATTGAAATCCTTTAGTTCGACGACCTGCGGCCACTGGCCACCCGACAGACCCACGCCCTGTTGCTGCTGCAGCGACGGATGATGTTGCAACAGTAGATTATGCTGTTGCAGGCTGTTCAACTGTTGGTTGCCATTGGCACCGCCGTACATTAGCTGATCCTGCAGCTGGGTGTTGGTCGCATCTAATGGCGTCAGCGGCTGATTGATTGCATGCGGCTGCTGCTGTTGCAGCAACAGTTGCTGCTGTATCCCAGTTGCACCGCCTGGCCCAACAACGACACCGCCGCTACCAGTTCCGCCAACGCCGCCACCGCCGCCGCCCGCTGCATGATCCGAGGTGCTGGTCTGTATCGATTCCTCCGTGGGATAAGCAGTGGCGCCACCCAGTTGCGACTTGTTATCGCCAGCTTTGCCGGCAGCGCCGCGCAAATCATGCGGCTGGGATTTGACGTCTTGGACTAGGATGCAATTCGAGCTGTCCATGTTCGGTTTCATCGAACTGACTGCTGACGGAAATGGGAGAAAGTCCAAAACACAGAAAGAGAAAAGAGAGAGTGAGAGTGTGAGTGAGGGAGAGAGAGAGAGAGAGAGTTAGCATTGCTTTGTAATTATTTCCTTAGTTTATATGTATTGCATATTGTGTATATATATTCCTAGTTTTTGTGAGTGTACGCGGCCCGAAAGCATAAATCGCTTGCCTGCCTGCCTGCGTGTCTGGCCTGGCCTACTTGCTAAATTTAACGCCATAAATCTGCTTGGCCCCTGGCAATAATGTTTAGTGTGTGGTGCTGTCCTTGTGGCTGGCCTGGCTCCACAGCATCCACTGGCGAATCCACAGCAGCTGCTGCCAGAGATTTCCGTTTTTTATTCTTCTTCTTCTTCTGCTTCTGTTTTCTTTCCTTTTTTTTATATTTTGGCGTTTTTCACATTTTGCCACCATGCCTTTTTTACACACACACACACACACACGCACACATACATTTTTGGCATCATATTTTAACGCCATATTAATATGCACTCGTCCATAAATCAATTCCATAAATTCCCTTACACACACACACACACACACTCACACACACTGATACATAATGTCTACAAAGCTGTTGTACCCTTTTTGGCCACACTGAGAACAGACACAAAGTGAACGTTGTTAACACGTTTGCATTTTGCTTGCCATCGTTGGAAGGCGGCTATCGTTTATCGATAACATGTCCACAAATTTATGTGCTTTGGCAGCGGCGCCAGATGCGCTGGCAATCGTCCTATTTTTGGGGCCATGCGGCTGTTATGCAATTTCCAGCACAATTTAAAAAGTGCATCACTGATGATGATTGAAGCGCATGTTTAGCCTGAAATCAGTACTTTCACACTCAACTGGCATTATTCAAGCACTCATCAGTTCACTCATCAATCAATGGTTGTCAATGGCTGCTCAGCAGTTGAAGCGCCTACCAAAATTATTTCAATCAACCAATCAATTACAGGCCGATCAATCAATTCATGCATTTGTTTTTCAAGAATGCAATTAGGCAAACTCATTTCAGCGGGGTCACATTGAAATTATGTTAATGGGCCCAAATGGAAAGCGACACAACAACAAATGGGGACAATGGGCACATGAAGTGCCAACTTTGAATGGAGCAGGGCACGAGGCACGAGGCACGGGGCACGGCGCATGGGGCAACTGTAATGGCACCCAAAAATAAATAAATAAATGTACTCCCCACTGTCAGCTGCCTGACAGCGTTCAACATGTAAACTAATGCGACCTAATGATGTCGATGTGTATGTGAATGTCTTGACAATGAGCCTAGATACAAATAAAGCTGCAAGCAGACAAAGGATACCCTCCCCGCGCCACACACACACACACACACACGCCTACACACACATACGCAATTACTCATATGAGGAACGACAAATTAATGTCAGCGAACGTGCTTCAATTTGGCTGTTGAGCTTTTAATTTGAGCGAACAGACAAACGAATAAAAGTACACATAAATATTTATAGCGACAATATACACTGAGAGAAGGCACAAATTGATCGTTGAAATGATTGATGAGTCAACTGAAAAATTTAACTAGATTTCGAAGTGCTTGCCTCAGTTGAAAAGGCAGGCTCAACTTCAAGTTAAAAGACAACAGACACAGAAACGTTGATCGTCACACAAAATGAAAGAAAAGTGTCTTTAAATTCTATCAAAAATCTCAAAACTATATTTTGCATATCGACAAACCAAAAATAATAGAAATAAAACAATTATTGGTTAAACTAATTTTGATGGTGAACTTAAGTGCTTGATTTGAGCTCGAAATACATTTGCTGTTTCTTCCCATGTGGCATAATGAATGAACAAGGGACAAACACGCACACACACACACACACACACACACACACACACACACACACACACACACACACACACACATAGTTTATGTGTGTGTCCCATCATTAATAACTAAGGAGACACAGAAGGAGATCGAGTAGGGGGGGGCTCTAGTTGCTATTAAGTTAACAAGCTTTTCATTTAAGTGGCTCGCAACTGGTCAACCAACTGGAACTTGAACTGGAACGGGAACGAGTACGGAAACAGACTGGGAGCGAGAAGTGGAAGAAGGAACGAGACAAACAAACGAGGGAGCAAACAATACAGCGGAGGGTGGTTAAAAAGGAAAACAACAAAAAGAAAAAAGAAAAGAAAAGAAATGCTTGCCACACTTTTTCCGCGCCTTTCTTTGCAACGGCTCAAGTTGCCAATGGGGGCTGGGTGAGGTGAGGTGGGAGTTGCTACGCAGCGCACCAATTAAATTTGATTACAATTTGTGGCAAGCGGCAAAAGCCATGGGAAGCACAACACATACTCAGCTCCCCCTCCAAGCAACCCTATCAAGGATATATTTACTTTAGTTGATGGCAACGAAAAAAGTCGATAAATTTACGTGTCTGTGTGTGTGTATGTGTGTGTGTGTGTGTGCCTGGGTGTGTGGGTGTATGTGTGTGTGTGTGTGTGCAACATAAAATAGACGACGACTCAATTTGGCAGAACATACAGGAATAAATACTAAACTGCACACAGAAGGACACTCCTCGCTATGCCAAGTCGTTATTTATATTTAGCCAAGACACCCAACCCCAACAATTTGCCAGTTTGAAAGGGTGTGTGAATTCGATTAGTTAATTTTCTTAGCTGATATTTTTTTTTTTTTGTTTTTGTTTTTAGGAGACACGCAATGAGCGGAACTGGAAATGATAACACTCCAGATCAACTAATTGAATCTACGTGCACCAAGTGGCGCTTCAAGCCAACAGAGAGGGAGAGGGCAGGGGCAGGTAGGTTGTGAAAGGGTTGCCAAAGTTGGCCTGTGTCCCTTTTGACCGTTCACATGGACAAAGTTACAAAAATTTATGAAGCATTTTCCTTAATTGCACTTCCTTGAAGAAATATAATTTATTTAAACGACAAGCGCACACCTTGCCCCTCTCTCTCACTCTCTCTATCTCACTGCCTCTTGCTCTCACTCACTCTCCAGCTTGCAGGTTGCTGCCGGGCGCCAGATGGACTCGACAGTGTTGGAAAGATAGAGGCGAGGAGGGAAGTGGGATGGGTAGTGGCGGAGAGGTCACGCCCTGTTGGTTGTTGTAATAGTAGTAGTAGTAGCAGTTGCCTGCTGTCTGCCACTGCCACCGCCTCTGAAAATGTCGTGTTGTGCCATTTGAAATGAAATTTTCTTTCAATATTCTTTTCTCTTGGTAATTGGCACAAGTCTTAATGATCGCAAACGTTTTAGCCAAACGATATGCACTTTAAATGTGGCCAATACTCTCCCCAAATAACATGAATCATTTATGCAACTGCAACTGTAACTGCAACTGTAACTGCAACACAGTTGAATAGGTACAGTCACGCAATCTACCGCTATTGCATAAATAAGTAATTGAAATTGTTGTTGAAAATTGAAATATTGACATTTTGCCATTTTTCACAAGAAGTTCGCATTTCTTATGTCGCTTTCAAAATGCTGTTATTGTCTTTGAAAGCTGCAGCTTAAATAATTTATCATCACTATTTGATTTATTGGTCGAATGAATGTGAATGAAGTCTCTCAGATTTTATATTTTTGTATTTGCTTGTCTGTCACTTGCTGTTTGCTGAACAGGACTCGTTCTTGAACCCATTTTGATGCCGTTTCTCCTTAATTTGAGCTTGAATAATGGCCATTCCTTGTTGCGGCTTAAACAACGACTGTCGCCTGTGCTAAGACCACAGAGCAAGTGTGTGAGAGAGAGAGAGGGAGAGAGATAGAGAGCGAGAGCAAATCGAGTGACTAATTGAGTGAGTACAGTGAAGCCTGCAAGCCTGTATCGAATGCAAGCTAGTCAAGTGAAAATACAATTGCTGGGCATATTCTCAATTAATATCGCATTTCAACTGAACTAATTGGAGTAAATGCACTTAAAAGCACAACATACAAAAATAAATCAAGCAAAAGGTCCTTCTTCTTCACCTTCTACTTCTTGCTGTTGTCAAAACCAATTGACAGATAGATAGACAGATAAATAGATAAACAAACAGACAACAGACAGAGGGATGGAGAGATACAGATAGATACTGGCCACAGCCTCTGTCGTTAGTTCAAAGACAAAAGCCAAACAAGCTGACTGAATGGCTGTGAATGCAAAGTGAGTCTTGCCGGGCCAGTGAAAGCATCAAATTGAATTGAATCGAATCTCAACTATGCCACAGCAACAAATTACATTTGGGCCACTGGCAAACCGCAGCCGTAAACCGAAACTGAAAATGAAAATCGCAATAAGCCACGAGCCCAAAAAAAAAAAACACATCAAATGTTTCCCAGCTGCTGTCAATGACAACGTTAAGCAGCTAGTAGCAGGGAGTAGCGACAGACTGAGAGAGAGAGAGAGGGAGGGGGAGAGAGAGAGAGAAAGAGAGAGAGAGAGAGAGAGAGGGTGGGTGGCACAGCCTCTTTGTTTTACTGTTTTCTATTGTTTGAAGCTGTTTGAAAACTTCTTAGACAAAATTCAGAAATGTATCTCAAAATAAATGCAGCTACGCAGCAGGTGGCAGAGGTTAGCGGAATATGCACAGCAAAATTGCGTAGCAGTGCATATTGAATGAGTTTCCGATTAAAAATCGATTAACCTATTTTCGATAACAACTGCAATGCGCATCCGCATCCGCTTCCGCATCCGCATCCGCACACTTTCGAGCCATCTCCTCCCATGGACTCATTGACTGCCTGTCAAACATGTTAATTGTCCTGATTGCCGTTTCTGTTTCAGTGTTGTCTGGCTTTATCAGTGTTGCTGTTGCTGTTGTTGCTGTTGCTGTTGCTGTTGTCACAGCTGTTGCAGTTGCACTTATCGGTGGCTGTTGCTCTTATTGTTGATGTTGTTGTTGTTGTTGTGATAGAAAGTGGCGTCGCAGTGGTAAATCGAGCTGTTCAGCTCAAACAAGCAAACAACAACAGCTTAATGCTCA